TCAGCAGCATCAGCTTTGTAATTGTAAGAGCAATTGTGTACATCTGAGTAACGGTGCACACCACAGTAAACATTTCCACACCGGCATTCAAACCCTGAAAGTGGATTAATATACATACATGAATTGGATGGAAGGTGTAAATATCAAGTTTCTTAGCATAATTAAACAGGATCATGTATTTTGGGTTGCAATCTAAAGAACTTAAGCTATTTAATTAACAAATAGCCATATAAACTAGTAACATTCTTAAAAAATTCGTTGACCGAGGACTTTATTTCTTGCTCTTATCTACAAACCAAACCTACTGCCCTCTAGTCAATTCTGACTCACAGCGACCCCACAGGGCTGATGGAGCTGCTCCAAGGGTTCTGAGGCTGTCAATCTTTACAGGAGACTGGCTCGCCTTCTCCTGCAAAGGGGCTAGTGGTTCAAATGGCAGATCTTGCGGTTAGCACCCAAGTGTTTTAACCAACTGGGTCACCAAGGGCTTCTCATATCGACGAAGAGCTATCTTTATTAGAGTAAGCTATAACCACCTTTCTGAGGTCAAGTTTCCTCACTTTTGATGTGGCCATAATTACATCTTACAAAACTTGGCCGGCAAATTGAAAATGCACAACTTCAAAATCCAAATACTACATTGTGAAAACAAGCACACTATCACGAAATCAATATTAAGTCTACAATTACTGTTAACATATTATCCTTATTAAAAGCTTTCCTTTGCAAACCTCCAGGGTAGATGTGAATTCTACTTTAGCATGGGATCTAAACTCAGGTTGTCTACATCTCTAACCTTAGATTCTGCTTATAGTTATTGTGGAATAAGTTGCTATAAGAATTAAATGAGAAATGTATTAAGTGCTTCAAATACAGTTAACATACATTAAGTGCTTTTTATTTCAGGGAAATGTCCCAGGAATTGAAGCCAAGGATGTAAGTAGTTTCTATGTAAAGCAGGTCTTTTTTCTCAAAGATTTGGTTTTTATGATAGGATGGAAGTGTTAGAAAATGCAACCTAGGGACCTATAATTTACAACAGTGAAATTATCATCCTTTTCTATATTTTTACTACAAAAATAATTCTAAAACTTCATTAGTAGTGAATTAAAAAATGAAGTCAACAGTAACACCAACAGATTACGGTACATAGCTGGACATGAAGGAGACTAGGTCTTAAGACTTCTAGTCTTGAGCTCTGCTTTTATGAGACTGTATTTGAAAGTAAGGTAGTTACTGCACGTTCTGAGGCCCTTCATAAGGTTTTCAATAGCTACTTCCTCGGAAGTCTTCCTTCTTAGTCTGAAAGCTCTCCTGACACCTGTTCACTGTGAAACATCGGTGCCATAGCTGTCACAGCAACACACAAGCCATGGCAGTTAAAATACTGACAGACAAAATTTAAAAGTGCTGAAATGCAAGGATGTAACTTTGAGAGGACTTAAATGTGTTGACCCAAGCCATGGAATTTTCAATTGCCTCATATGCATGTGAAAGTTGGGCACTAAGTAAGAATGACAGAAAAATATCACTGCCTTTGAATTGTGGTGCTGGCAAAGAATATTGAAAATACCACGGACTGCCAGAAGAACCAACAAATCCTGGAAGACATGCAGCAAAAATGTTCCTTAGAAGTAAGGATGCCGGTGCCTTTTCCCTCCATATTGGAACCTCTAGAGGCCTGTTGGGAACAGGACTTCTAAATGGCAACTATGTCTGGAAGGCTGTGGTCCAAGGCCATTTTTGCTGGCTATAAACGGGGTCTATGGAATCAGAGGGATCACACGGCTCTTAAAATTGAAGGTGTTTACGCCTGAGATGAAACGGAATTTTATTCAGGCAAGAGATGTGCTTACGTGTACAAAGCAAAGAACAACACAGTGACTCTTGGTGGCAAACCTAACAAAACCAGTCATCTGGGGAAAGGTAACTCGTGCCCATAGAAACAGTGGCATAGATCGGGCCAAATTCCGGAGCAACCTGCCTGCTAAGGCTATTGGACACAGAATCCGTGTGATGCTGTACCCCTCAAGAATTTAAACTTAAAAGTTAATAAATAAAATTGTGCATTTGTTTTAAAAATAAAAGAAGGATGCCAAGACTTCCTCTGACATATTCTGGACACATTATTAGAAGACAACAGTCCCTGGAGAGGGACAGTTTGTTTGGTAAAGTAGAAGGACAAGGAAAAAGAGGAAGGCTGTCGACAAGATAAAGTGATACAGTGGCTGCAACAGTGGGCTTAAGTATAAAAACAAATGTAAGGATGCCACAGGACTGGATAGTTCTTTATTGTACATAAGGTCAGAATGGATTCAATGGCACCTAACAACAACATTATTTAAGAATACCACGTTTGTTCAAGTTTACACTCTTTAAATAAACATATTTGCTAGTTAGTCACCTACTTTCTTTGCTAAATACTTGAATATTTTCCCTCTCTCTCCTAGTAATAACACCAGAGAGTTACAATAGCTAGTATGTATTGATTACTTACGTGACAGCCCTGGGGTAATCTTTTTACATGTATTAAAACTCATTGAGCCCTCGCGCCTTTTAATGTAAAATTAGTACCAATGTGTATATATAGCAAGCACTTCATAGCTTGCCCTGTACTTTAAAATAGTCTCTTTCATACCCTATTTCTGAGTACTTCGGGCAGCAGCCGTACTTTTGTACCACTGTAGCACCTGCCAGTGACCTTCCAAAACCCACTGATGTTAAGTTGATTCTGATTCATGACGGCCCCATAGGGGGTTGCACAGCTACAGATCTTTATCCATTGTGCTACCGGTACTCTGTACAGTGACCTTCAGGGACCTTAGTTATCTAGTATTCTCAAATGCAAAATCAATGAGGTTTTATAAGCAAAGTTATTCATTTCACTTGAAGGCACATAATTAAAGTTATGTTTATTTCTTTAATAATACAGAAATGTTCTCTCATGGGAACAAAACCTATTTTATTGAAGCCAGTCATAGTAAAGCATGCATTATTTTAAATGATAATCTTAATTTTAAACCATTTCATTTTGGTCCTTACCAGTAAGGCCCACTTTCTTCCTGCACATGAAACAGCGATTCTTTTTTTGTTTTGGTTTTTCAAGGGACTTGTTTTGTTCTTCAGATGGCTGTTGTGCCGTATCTGGTACTGAAGCTAACAAAAGTAGGAAATGTGGTAAAATTTAATTATTCAGTAAGCTTTTGATATCTGGGTAATTATTGTCCCTCATCAATCTCTGTTACTATCAGAGAAATTACTTATTAGCATGGACAGATGTTCACATTAAACTACAAAAGTTTATATAAAAGACCCCATTAAAATATATATTTAATGTACACATATACGGAAAATAATTTAATATACACAAGGTATAAGGTAAAAAAGTATTGCTACTAGGGCTCCAATACATGCACAGATTTATGCCAAACAAAATGTTTAGCACATTTCTGCCTTCCCTGGATGGCTGCGGACAAGTTCCTTTAGTAATACACCTGTCTCAGTCCTATAAGGTGCCTTCTTAAAAAAAAAAAAAAAAAAGGTGGGAGGGTCTAATCAAAACAGTGGCTTCTGAGGAGGTCTGCTAAGTAAGTTAAATTCAAGGCAGAGAGGTCAGCTCAGAAGAATTATGTTTACTATTCTTGAGGACTCCATAGGGTTAATCTTGATGGATTTTCTTGATGGACACAGGATGTGTATAAATCTGAGAGCACAAAACTGCTTGAGGAAGATTAAGCCAGCCAGCCAGACTTCAGAAGTGTATAGATTCCGATGTAGGCTATGCTGAGAAATAGTAACTTCACATTTTGCCATTTTTGTTTGATAAAGGTTTATTATAACAATACTTTTTGACTTGTCCTTGTATACTGACATATCAATGTGGCTCTACAAGGTGGATCTTATACTACTTGGGCATTATAAAGGAGGGTACAAGAAAGAAACCAAATGCACACTCTAAATATTATCCAGGGAGAGATTTATACAGATTCCAATTATATAGAAGTCAAGATTCTTTCTCTAGGGTTTTAAGTATGTGCACAGTTCTCAACGTGTTTCACATAAAAACTTTAAAATAAGAAGTAAGATAAACTGATGTGTATAATTGCTGAAACCAAGGCTAGGTGCACCAAGATACAGATCAAGTTACTGTCCTTACCTAGTGTGCCCCTCTCCCGTCACTTAGTCTATAGTATGACTTTGCAGGCAGCGTAGCTTGCTCTAAAGTCATTGACTTGCCAGGAATCAAGCTCTTAACCACTCCAAGTTTACCCGCAACTCAATTTTTCTCAGGAATCCATTGCTGAATGGGCTGTACACACTGGAAATATACCTTGCACATTTACTCATACCTTTTATAACCAATTTACAAAAGGACTTCCCTCTTTTCCTTGTAGGTTATCTATGCCCTCCTCTTCTTAAGGCCCAGCCCAAGAACCCCTTCTTTCAGGAACCTTCTGTCTTAGTCCTCTACAGCTTCTTAGTCTAGTTAATAGTCTGACAAATAATGAGCACTACACACGTGAAGTCTCACACACTGCAACCACACATCTGTGTTAAATGAAATTCTAATGTTGTCTTCTTGCTGCTTAGAAGTGTTGACTCACCACTGGCCCCAGGGTCCCTCATGATTATCTTACTTTCTTTCTCCAGCCTCACTTAGCAATATTCCGCAGTGACACTCCATATTTGTCACTGTACTTGAATTCTCCCTGTATACATAAGTACTCTTTCTAATCTCAGGGTTTTTGTGTAAGTTTTTCTTTCTACATGGAATATTTGTTCCCTGTGCTTCTTTGTCCCTGTTTATCTGGATAACTTGTTTGAACTTTATGATCAATTCTTATACTACATCCCCTACCCTCAAACTTTGAACTGGGAAATTACCAATTGCCCCAATTATACTGTAAGACCCCCACCCTCATACTGTAACAAAATATAAGAAAAGTAAAATACCATTAGTTAACAAGTTAGTATGCATTACTAAAATAGGTCATCTAACAGCTTCTAAGTTAGGGTTCACATTTGGGACCAGTGAATATCAGTTATGTGCCCTGTGACTCAGGTAATCTCCATTTACCTAAAACTAGTGGTTAACAGGCTGAATCTATATGCATCTCTAAATGAACTTATGGGCAAGATAATAAGAGTGCTGGTAAAAGTCTATGATGCAGATATTATCCTACTTCTTCAGTTTAGAGATAAAATTTCAGATCAAAGCATGTCTTATCAAATTCTAATTACGTTAGAAAAATGATTCAATCTTTAAGAAGAGCCACACAGTGGATTAATGACCAAAGGGCCATTATTGAAATTTAAGTCTGTGTGTCAGTTTTTTTAGAACCAGATAGCTTTTCATTTTCTGAAATAAGACTTGAAAACAGAAATAGTTGACTGTCTATGTTGCATCCCCTGACCCTCAGGGTCTATTTAGGAGGCCTATGAGACAGTGTAAAGGCTGTGATAAAAGCTGTACAGTATGTGCTAACTTAGTTTTATGGGAATCCCAACCAGACAAGAGTCTACTAACCACTACTGTTAAAATATTTCAAAAAGCACCAATCAGGTAAAATTAGTTTAACTACCCACATGGAGGATCACATTCAAGAGGTACAAGGCCCTCTGCTCTGGGTCCTGTAAAAAAATAAAAAGCACAGAAACATTACAATAAGTATACGCAAGCATTTAGCACTCTATCCTGAAGGTAAAATTAAATACATGGGATAAAATAATATTGCATTTGATCTTAGCCAAAAGGCCGAGAAGTGATGGAAAAATAAAACTGAATCTAAGATAACATTCATAGTAAATCCCAAGCATTACCTTAATATATGAGCTTGTTAGTCTCAGGATTAGATACAGGATACAAGTAATGTAACATATACCCCTTCCTTCAGAGTTATAACAGGTTTCTTGATTTACGTATTCAAACTAAAAACATTTTGAGATCAGGACTACTTTTTTGGGGGGAGATGACAACGACTGTTCTTTGCTACTAGCTTCTCTTAGGACTATTTCTATTCACTACTGTACATCTAGTGCTGACAGGTCAACTGCTCAATAGTTCCTTACTGAATACTATGCAATATGAGGAAGTCATTCCTAGTTCAAAAGTTCTGTACCAAATAAAAATTTTTAAATGCTCAAGAAAGAATATGCTACAACAGCGGAATCACAATGTAATCTGACACCTCCTAGTACTCTTCATTAAGAAGCCCTGGCGGTATAGTGGTAAAGAGGTAGGCTATGATCCACATGGCCTGGCAGTTCAAAACCACCAGCACGCTGCAGGAGAAAGAATGAGCTTTCTATTCCCATAAACATTTACAGTCTCAGAAACCCACAGGGGGTCGCTGTGAGTCAGCATTAATTCAATGACAACGAATTTTTTTTAGTAGCCATATTTGAAATAGGTAAAAATTTTCATTAACTCAATATATCTAAATTCTCAATAGTTTATTTTTTAACTGGACAAAGTAAATCAACAGAGAAAACTTACTATGTTTCTAGGGGCAAAAACTGTTAATACATAATTGTATTTGAAGATGAGCATTACTCTAAAAAAAA